AAACTTTAAAAAATGAGAACTTGACATCTAAGCAAATTAATCAAAAAATGCTTCTTATTTCGTATATAGTGGATATATATGAAATTTTTCTTATAACATTAATCATCTAATTCATGTTTGAATTTTGCATATATGTCTCAACTTTTAAGAAATTTTTACTTGAAAGTTTGAAAGGAGGATTCTGGACGAAAAAAACAAGAAAAAGAAATGAGGATTCTGGCAAATAGATTTTGACCAAGTGTTGGGTTTAAGGAAGAGCTTCTTTGTCTGATGACTCTGTTTCACCATTGCGGAGCCATAAAGACTCGACCATTCCTCGCGCCATTTCTTCACATTCCACCAATGCCCATCGTTTCCTTGGTCGGATTTCCACTCTCTGTGAAACCGGAAACCTCCACGAGTCCTTTCGTGTCGTCGAGGAATTCGCTTGGGACGAGTCATCGTCGTCCGATGCGTTTCTTCTTGTCCGAGAAGCTCTCGGGCTTCTCTTACAAGCTTATGGGAAGAGAAAAGACATTGCTTTGGGGAGAAAGATCCACAAGCTGGTTTCGGTGTCGATTCGGTTAAGGAACGACGACGTTCTCTGCAACCGTGTAATCACCATGTGTGGCTCTCCTGATGATTCTCGGTCTGCTTTTTGACACATTGCGTAGAAAGAATCTCTTCCAGTGGAATGATGTTATCACTTCTTACTCAAGAAACGAGCTTTACCACGATGTGTTAGAGATATTTATCAAGATGATCACAGAGATTGAGCTTTTACCTGATAATTTCACTTTTCCATGTGTGATTAAGGCTTGTGCTGGGATTACTGATGTTGGGATCGGCCTTGCGGTTCATGGGTTGGTAGTGAAGAACAGATTGATAGATGACGTTTATGTGAGTAACACATTGGTGTCTTTCTATGGAACACATGGTTTTGTCTCTGACGCCTTGAAACTGTTTGATGTAATGCCTGAGAGAAACTTGGTTTCGTGGAACTCTATGATTCGAGTGTTCTGTGACAATGGTTTCTGGAAGAATGTTTCTTGCTTCTTGGAGAAATGATGGAGGAAGTTGATGGTGAGTTTATGCCGGATGTTGCTACACTTGTTACGTTGTTACGGGTCTGTGCGAGAGAAAGAGAAATTGGGGTGGGTAAAGGTGTTCATGGGTGGGCTGTTAAACTAAGTTTAGACAAGGAATTAATCGTTAAAAATGCCTTAATGGACATGTATTCTAAATGTGGTTGCATAAACGATGCACAATTCATATTTAAGTTGAACAATAACAAGAATGTGGTTTCTTGGAATACAATGGTAGGATGTTTTTCAGCAGAAGGGGATATACATGGGACTTTTGATATTCTGAGACAGATGCTGTCAGGAAGCAGAGATGTCAAAGCGGATGAGGTAACTATACTAAATGCTGTACCTGTTTGTTTCGATGAATCAGTCTTACCGAGCTTGAAGGAACTTCATTATTACTCCTTGAAACAAGAGTTTATACACAATGAGTTGGTAGCCAATGTCTTTCTTACTTCTTATGCAAAGTGCGGTTCACTGAGTTATGCCCACCGTGTTTTTCGTGGTATAAGGAATAAACCAGCGAATTGGAATGCTTTGATTGGTGGCTATTCTCAGAGCACTGATCCTAGATTGTCCTTGGATGCCCATTTGCAGATGAAAAATTCTGGATTGCTACCTGACATGTTTACTGTCTGTAGTCTTCTTTCAGCTTGTTCTCAACTAAAATCCTTGCAGGTCGGAAAAGAACTGCATGGGTTTATAATCCGAAATCGGTTAGAAAGAGATTTGTTTGTTTATATATCAGTATTGTCATTATACATTCATTGTGGAGAGCTATACACTACACAGGTATTATTTGATGCAACGAAAGATAAAAGCTTAGCATCATGGAATATTACGATCACTGGTTACCTTCAGAATGGATTTCCTGAGAGAGCTTTGGGTCTCTTTAGAAAAATGGTTTTGTATGGAATCCAACCTTGTGAGATTTCTATGATGGGTGTGTTTGGTGCGTGTTCGCTGCTGCCTTCTCTTCGGTTGGGGAGAGAAGTGCATGCATACGCTTTAAAGCGCTTCATCAAGGAAAATGCGTTTATCGCGTGTTCTATAATTGATATGTATGTTAAGAATGGTTCTATAACACAATCATTTAAGGTTTTTGTGGTTTGAAGGAGAAAAGCGCAGCATCATGGAACGCCATGATTATGGGATGTGGAATACATGAGCGAGCAAAAGAGGCTATTAAACTCTTTGAAGAGATGCAAAGAACAGGTTATAGTCCTGATGACTTAACTTTCTTAGGTGTTCTAATGGCTTGTAACCACGGCGGTCTGATCCACGAAGGGCTGAGATATCTGGATCAGATGAAGCATTCCATTGGGCTAAAGCCAAATTTAAAGCATTATGCTTGTGTCATTGACATGTTAGGCTGAGCTGGGCAACTAGACAAGGCTCTAAGGGTTGCCACAGAAGAGATGTCTGAGGAACCTGATGTTGGAATCTGGAATTCTTTACTTAGCTCGTGCAGAATCCATCGAAATATGGAAATGGGAGAGAAAATTGCTGCTAAGTTATTCGAACTAGAACCTGCAAAGCCTGAGAATTATGTTCTGCTTTCCAACTTATATGCAGGGCTGGGGAGATGGGATGATGTGAGGAACGTGAGGCAGAGAATGAAAGAGATGAGTTTGCGAAATGATGCTGGATGCTCCTGGATCGAACTAAACGGAAAGGTTTTTAGCTTTGTTGCTGGCGAAAGTTGCTCAGATGGGTTATGAGGAAATCAAAAGTCTTTTGAAGTATATTGGAGACAGAGATATGGAAGGTGGGATATAGACCAGACACAAGTTCAGTACAACATGATCTAAATGAAGAGGAGAAGATTAAACAGTTACGGGGAGAAACTTGCCATTACCTACGGGTTGATCAAAACTTCAGAAGGAACAACTCTTAGAGTTTACAAGAACCTAAAAATTTGTGTGGACAGTCACAATGCAGCGAAGTTGATTTCTAAAGTCATGGAAAGGAAAATAGTTGTTTGGGACAACAAAAGATTTCATCATTTCAAGAATGAGTTTTGTTCTTGTGGAGACTACTGGTAATTAGGACTATAATCAAATTGGTTATTTGACTAGAATGTTATATCAATGTCTCTTAGTTTACTTTCATGACTAAACTAAACTGATACATACCAAATGAAACTGATGGAAACATTTGAAACTCCAAATTTAATTATATAACATAATAAACTGAAAGTTTTTTTTAATGTAAAACAAGTTTCACTTTTCAATTTTCCCATTAAATATCTCTGCATTTTCTTGTATCTTCATACAAACACCAAGAGAAGCAAGAAACAATGAAGACTTCCATGAGCATCATTGTCGTCTTCTTCATTGTGACCTTCCTCGCCATTTCTGCTGCTTCCTTAAGCCCCGAGGAAACTTGCATACGAAGAAACATCAATAGATCACAAGCACCAAGCTCTTCACTCGAACCCAAAACGTCGATGTTCGACTCTCTTGTGGACAAGCTTTGCAGAGACACGGGTCGTTCGGTCATGTTCTATGTGAGGATTAACGGAAAATTCCCATCTCACTATGTGAAAGCAATGTGCAATGTTTTTGGAGATGATGAGAAGAAAGTGAAGGAGTATGTTTTGAAGAAATGGTTGGGAGGTTCGAAGCTCGTGTCTAATTTATCTTGTGATTTTCATTGGTGATATGTTTTATGATTGACATTTTGGGATTAAGAAATTGATAAAAATTAAACACTTTTTGAGTCGGTTTTATATTATAGTTTTTTTGGGGTTTATGCAATAGTATTGTCTTCATTGATAGCAATAAAAATTATAAAATGGTAATTGTTCAATACAAAAAAAAAATGCAAAATAAAACCGACGAAATTATAAATACAATCTTTATTATAAGACTTACAAAATAACATAATTGTTTTGACTAGAGCAATTCCATCAAATAAAAAGGGTGAAACTTGAAAAAATATAAAAATGGTCATATAAAGGAAAAAAGAAGGAATAAATATGATTGCCCAAAAAAAAAAAAAAAGGGAATAAATATGCATTTATTATGTTTTTTCTTATGACCGAATCCATAAAAAAAAAAGGTTTAATGGTTCGAGTTTGAGATTAAGACCTTCTTAACGCAGATGCTAATCAGTCTCGGATAAGAACATTCGAACAAATTACCGACACACAAAAACTTTTCAAAAGATGTTGTCGAGATTGTCCAAAGCTGGTGAAAAAGTTTTGTTGAATCTGGTTAACAAGAAGGACCTTCACATGGCCTCGAATTCTCCCAAAGTGCAAGAGCTCTACGACCTCTGCAAGGAGACTTTCACTGGGAAAGCTCCTTCTCCCACTTCCATGGCTGTCCAAAAATTATGCTCTCTTTTGGGTACTTTTTGTTTTTTTGCCTCTGTTCGATTTTCTCCGACTGCGATAGGGTTTGCAATTTTGACTGCTTTTGATCGAATCAATTAAATATTTGAATCGATTTAGAAGGATTTAGTTAAAGGGTTTAAGTAAATGTGGGAACTTTTCATGAATGATGGCTCATTTGATTTTGCGAACCCCACCAAATCTGGGCAATTGCAGATTCACAATTTGAAATCGTCATAGTCACTGAGAAGTGCAAAGCTCTTAACTTTTATGTGCACATGATGAAATTTAGGGGCTTAGAGAAGAGTTGCATCAATCAATAGTACATAAAGGGACTAATAGGATCAGTGATTTTGGGGTTCATTGTGGTCAGAGTTGAAGTTAGATATTTGGGGAATGTTTTGTTTATTATAAGCAGATGTGTGATTTGGCTTTTGTTCATTTTGTGTTCAGATACGGTTACTCCTGCAGATGTTGGGCTTGAAGAGGAAGCTCAAGACGATGATCGAGGCTATGGTGTTTCTGGTGTTAGCCGTTTTAACCGAGTAGGACGATGGGCACAACCGATAACATTCTTAGACGTTCATGAATGTGATAGTTTTACAGTAAGTCTTTGCATTTTGATACTGAATTCTTCCTGGTGATGAATCAAGAAATGAGAAATCTGAAACATAAGAGTTTTTTTTGTTCTTCTTCAGATGTGTATTTTCTGCTTCCCAACATCTTCAGTGATTCCATTGCATGACCATCCAGAGATGACTGTGTTTAGCAAAATCCTTTATGGATCACTTCACGTTAAAGCTTACGATTGGGTCGAACCTCCATGTATTATCAGTCAAGACAAAGCAGCGCCCGGTAGGCTATCTTCCAGGTTATCGTTTTTTTCTCATCTCGGGTTTTACTTGTGTGATTAATTACTAAGACTTCTGGCTACTACTTGTAGCAGCAAGATTGGCGAGATTGGTTAGCGATAAAGTCATAACGCCTCAGTCTGAGATACCGGTGTTGTACCCAAAGACAGGAGGCAATCTCCATTGTTTCACTGCGCTGACTCCATGTGCAGTGCTCGACATTCTCACACCTCCTTATGAAGAAAGTGCTGGCAGGAGTTGCAGTTATTACATGGACTATCCGTTCTCCACATTTGGTATGCAAACTCTCTTCTCCTTCAAAAGAACATTATTATGTTACCCTGTTTTCTTTGACCGGTGATCTATTCTCTTTGGTTTGATGATAATAGCATTGG